CGCTTGTGAGAGGCAACAGAACCACTGAGCTAAATCCCTGGCCCAAGACCTTGTTATTTTTAAGAACAGAAAGTGCATAAGTTATTTCCTCGGTGCAGCTGTGCAAATTAAAACAAAACAAAAACCACCATTTAAAAATAGTGAAAAATAATCTCTTTATTCTCTCTCTGCAACAGATTTTGGACCCAGTCCTCCAATGCAAAGGAAAAATGACCAAGCGAGTGAAGGCCAGCTAGGGCGTGGGGACAGGGCCACTTTATGGAGTAACCGGTGCGTTCTTCAGGGAGGTGGCCAGGGTACCATCACTGCAGGTAAACTGAGTCATGATGCCTGCCAGGGCACTCGGTTCTGTCCAGTATGGCTGTAGAGGGTGCTGAGGACCTCGCAGCAGGGAAACATGGCCATCCACTGTGCATCCAGGAGCTCTGAAATGTATCCAGGTACCCGGAAGCCAGGACTTTTGCTCAGACCCCTCTCCCTGTCTTCTGTCACCACCCTTCTTCCACTGGTTAAAGCCAATCGTGTCTGACTCCAGGACCAGGGCACTACCGGGGCGGCTGCTGGAGGCCCGATGGCTCGGACAGACGGCTGACCCTGCGGGATGGGCGTGTGGGCTGGGGCTGTGCAGAGGGTGGTGGGGCAAAGCCCAGGGTCCCTGGCTGCTGGGAGTAGGCGGAGAGGAGCAGTGAATCCGGCCGCTCACTGTGCAGAGAGGTCGGCACCTGTGCCAGGAGAGAAAAGAGAAAAGCTACAGAACGGGTTGTGACTGGCCAGTCTCTCAGCTGCCTTCAGCGGCCGGCTGGGCCCTGAGTGCAGCAGGGGCTGGATGGTGCTCAGACTGTGGGGCTATCCGCCTTGGATGGCTGGGGTGTCTCATGGGGATGGGTGGCTCTGGCTTCATCTAGGGGGCCACGAATGGAGGCAAATGCAGCCTTGACTCTCCTGGTGGAGGGGACTTCTGAAGCCAAGCTCTCTGCCAACACTGTGGGTTCCTTTGGGCCCTGTGTGCCTGGGGCTGAGGCTTCAGAGTGGTTTCTTGTGTGTCTTCTCACATCTATATATGGCCTGCATGGCTTTGGATGAGGGAGCCTGAGGCCCCGTGCAGATGGCCAACAGGGCAGAATCTACACACGGCAGGTGCGATGGAAATGTACAGTGAATACTTATATAAAAAAGATTACAGTAGAAGACGCATTGCCATGATTCTCCTCAGAATCCTTCCCCTTTCTTGAAACACACTTATCCCATGGTTCTTGGCACTTTCTGAAGCAGTTCTGGAGTCCTCTTTCATGAGTGTCTTTATAAGGTGAAATTTAAAAAATACAGTGAATTCTGCTGCCCAGCACCATCCAATGGAAAGGCAGCTTATAAAAACATGGTGCTGTGCAGTCATCCACCAGAATTGGCACTGTGCAACTTCCGGCTCTCCCCCAGACTCAAACTGACCATGAAAAGTAAATGTTTTGAATGGATTCAGGACATCAAGGCAGCCACAACAGCACAACTAAAGCACTTAAGAAAGAGGACTTCCAGAACTGCTTCAGAAAGTGGCAAGGAGGGGTTGAAGTGAAGTGGGTATTTTGAGGGGAATTAAAAGGAATGTGTCTTTTACTGTAATACTTTTTTTAAAGAATGTAAGCATTCAACATATCTTTTAGCCACATCTCACAGGTCCTCATGCTTTCCCCAGCCGGTCCTGTTTCTGAACCATTCCCAGCATGGCCACCCAGCAGCACCTACTAGGCGTTCAGAAGCTTCTGCCTTCAGACGCTTTGGTCTTATTTCCCTCTTCCTCCCAATCCATGTTGCCCCCGAGGAACTCAGTACTCCTGACCCCACCTCTGAAGCTGCTCAGCACCCTTTCCCCATGCCAGGTCCTTCATCTCTGCTCCTTTCCCACCCTTCAGGCATTTCCTGGACCTGCTGCGCTCCGTAGCAGATGGCTCCAAGGCCATCCTGCCTTCCTGCCTCTGAGAGAGCGCTCTACCCCAATCCCCCTCTCCTGTGCTCCCCAGAGTCTGGCTGTGCATTGTGGTCTCCATGCTCCCCACCCTGAGGTCTTAAGGGCAGCAAGCAGGTCCAAAGCACTGCATCTGTACCTGGCATCTGCACGATGCCTCTCCTCCTCATCCTCCCCAAGTCCCACTGTGCCCCAAGACTGGTAGATTTTCAAAGCTAAGGTCCGAGCTGACACCCATCAGGAGATTGGAGAATTACTGAACAGGTGGTCACAGCTTCGAGGGCAGTTACATCCCACACCCACAAGGGGGATGCTCTCCATCTGTGTCCCATGGTCCTCAACACATCCCTGCCTGTGCACACTGTCCTCTGGTCTGGCTGGAGCAGGAAGCCCTGGGCACATGCTGAAGGGGCAGCTGGAGCCCTCTGGTGCCTCAGTGGGCCTGTGGTTCCCATCTGAACGCAGAACCTGGGGCCTCCACCCTCCCCTCCATCCTTCCAATGTATTTGATAGCTTTGTGAAATAATTTTTGCCTGGGAAGTAGTAAATATATCTCAGATTTCCGGGCAAGCCCCAACTTCATACAACATTGAATTTATTAAGGCAGTTTGGTGAGTATTTAAATGTGATTTAACTTCATATTTATGTAAGCCTTTGTATTTTTTGTTATTTATTTATTTTTATTTTTTTGAGACAAGGTCTCACTATATAGTTCACTGGCCCTGAACTCACCATGTAGCCCAGGCTGGCCTTGAACTTGCATTGATCCTTCTGCCTCAGCCTCCCATGTGCTGGGATTATAGGACTGTGCCATCATGCCGGGCCCTTGTTTTTCCTTTTTGAGACAGTCTCACTTAGTTGCCTAGTTGTTTGTTTGTTTTTTTTTTGGCTTTTTGAAACAGGGTCTCACTATGAAGTGGAGACTGACTTGGAACTCACTATGTAGCCCAGGCTGGTTTTGAACTCACAGCGATCCTCATGCCTCAGCCTCCCGAGTACTGGGATTACAGGTGTGTGCCACCACACCCGGCTTTTGATCTTTGTTTCTTGAGATGGGGTCTTGCTATGTAGTTCAGACTAACTTTGAACTCACTAGGTAGTCCAAGATGACCTAGACCTGGTGGTGATCCTCCTGCCTCAGCCTCCCAAGGGCTCAGAGTACAAGTGTGTGCCATCATGCTCAGCTCAGCCTTGAATTTGTGATTCTCCTCCTGCAGCCTTCTGAGTAGCTGGGATTACAGGTGTGAGCCTGGCTACGTAGGGCTTTATGCATGTACAAAAAAGGCCACTAACAATAGTCGCTAAGATCTGTTTCTGCTCTCAAAAACATATCAAGGTACAGGGTCAGGAAAAATTACTTTCTCCAAAGGACGCACAGAACCACATGAGGCAGAACAGCTGCTCCTTCATTTCTCATACTACATAGGCACAGATTTAAAAGCTGCAGGCATCAAAAGCAATCAAACACAGGACAGAATCTGTACCCATGGCAGAACAACCTGGGACTTTCAGGGTGGTGCAGCAGCTCGGCCTTGGTCCCTAGGCTGGCTGCTCCCCCGGGCCCTGGTGCCCACCTGCACGTAGTTCGGTGGTGGCTGCTGGGCCAGCTGGGAGGCAGGGAAGCTGGGGTGCAGCACTGCCTGCCCCATCAGCAGGACAGGGGTTGCAGTGCTGCTGCTGGCTGGGTGCGAGTCCGGACTTGGAAATACCGCCTGGCTCGGTGCAAACCTGCTCGTTTCACAAGGGGAGGAGAAAACAGAACCTTTAAGAAAGAGGCACTGACATGATACCAAAAGCACAGGAAATGAGAAAAATAGGTAAAGCCGCATTGAAAAGTTTGTACATCAAGGATGCTGTTCACAGAGGGGAAGTGTAGCCCATGGGGTGGGAGGAAGCATTTGTAGATCCTGTGTCTGAAGAGAGACAGATGCTCACAAAGTATCAAGGAGTCCTCCAGCTGTCACCCCCACATCCACCAACCAGTAACACCCACACAGCCAGCCAGAGAAACTGGCGCGGGCTTGAGTGACACTTCCCCAAAGAGAAGATCTGGGTGCCAGACGGCACGTGATACAATGGTCCACATCAGAGGTCAACAAGGAAAAACAAATCAGATCCAAAAAGAGCTGCCATTTCATATCCATTGCCTTGACTGTTTTATCTTTTTTTTTTTTTTTGTACCAGGGATTGAACACAGGTCCTTGCACTTGAGAGGCAAGCACTGGAACCACTGAGCTAAATCCCCAGCTCACCTTGACTATTACATTAAAAAAAAAAAAAAAAAAAAAA